TTCTTCTTCCTATGGATCTTTCTTTTCCTCTGCCACTACTAGCGGATGGCGTACGGATCAAAGTAAGTTCGGTTTCAAATTGGTGTTGGTGTTAAACTTTTCTCCCGAGTTTAGTTTATTCGCTAAATTTTGCGAATAAGTTTGCATTCGTTTACTGCCTTGTTGAAACTCTTTCACTGAAAATGTAGTGAATTGAAACGCGTGCGTGAAGACTTTGGCCTGCATGTTAAAATGAAGCGTGTGATGTGGCTGAATATCTGGTAGGTTTTGGATTTGTAGATCCAATAAAATCTTTTAATCTTTAACTGAGCAAAAGAAGCTGTATGGATTAAGCAGAGTTGTTCATTCCTTAATTCTAAAGTGTATTCAAATTCACAAAAGATCTAAAACCCACAGGGAATAGCTTTATCCTTAAAAGAGCGATGTCGTCACCCTCCATCACAACTTCTTGTTGTTGAGTGTTTTTCAAAAAAGTGTGAAAATGATTGGTGCTAGTGAATATTCAGATGGTAAGTATCTTAAAGTATGTGTGTTGTTTTGAAGTAAGTAAGGAAGCATCATAATAAAATGGTTCTATTTCTCATTTCAGACAATGCGGGGGTTGCCTCCTTGTCCAAACTGTCACCGATAACCTTTGACTCAACTGTCAGAAGATTTGGCTAACAGATTACCCGAAAACCTAGAAGAAAACAACAACGCAGCACCTTGGTCATCAGCCGTGCAACACTTATACTACCACAATTACAACTGGGATGAAATGATTGCCGGTGACAATGATCTGACCTTCCTCCAATTTCTTGATGAAATGTCACCAAACGATGGAAGTATGGTACAAGATATCGTAACACGACAAACGTTTTTGTTGCATTTCCATGAGAAAAATGTTAGAATTCGCTTTGCCACTCGATTTTTAGCTTCAATCAAACACGAAGCTGTGGAAAGATTTATATTTGTGCTTCACAATTTACAAGCAGTGTAATTGGTTTTCAATTTTAGAGTCGATTTAGGAGCTGTTACGTTCTGTTCTCCTTTGAAAACAGGCCGACGACCTATTGCGCTGTTGTTCTAAAGTGTGGACTCTATTGTTCTTTGGTACCGTAGGGACCAAAAGCTGCGCTCTGATTGTTTAGGACCCATGATGGCCCCGTATACTTCTCATATAAGCGGCTCCATCATAGTAGCGCGAAGCGTAGCCCCATAATTATACGATATAGTTGTAAGCCATCAAGCCGAAAAAATTTGGACGTACGACCGACCGTACAAGGTACTAATTTTAGCATGCGCCGGCGACTGTACCACGGGCACTATCTTAGCCATTACGTAATGGAAGGGCGAAGTGGAAAGTAATGCGCAGGCGCGATTGCGTGCGTAACTTGGATACCCCATTAGTGTGCGCCAGGAGACACTGGCGGATGAAAATAAAGTGCGCATACTCGAGTGTCGAGCTTCAGTGTAGCGTACAGCAGGCGCACGGTTAGGCATTGCACGAGGGCTTCACGTGGGCTAGAATATGTGAAGCCGCGTAAGCAAATAATTTGCAACCCGCGTTTTGAGCGGGAAATCAAACTGGTGAGGTTGTAGTTGAATAGTAATTATCAGTATTTTGCAATATCTAATCAACTCGCTGACCAAAAATACCCGCAGAGCTAGGTATTTTTTATACCTTGTCAATGGGAGGAAATTGTTATAATTCAAGTTTGTGGAGAGAGGATTTCGAGTGAAATTAGGATGAAAAGAAAGAGACTAAGCCCTACAAAAAAAGCAAGAAGTAAAAGACGTAAAGCGAGTGGGGAAAAACCCTCAAGAAAGTTAAAGAGGACACCAAAAAAAAACAGAATACGGCAAAAGGAACGCGAAAAGAGAACAAGAAATGACATGAGTAAAAGGCGAATATCTAGCGAAGAGCAATGCGAGAAGGAAATACAAAGACGCTCCTGAAAACAGACTGAGAAGATGTCGTCTAGACCATTGCCGACAACAACTTGTTATTGTCAATAATGCAACATCCACAAAATGTAATGTAAGTTGTGGAGTACCACAGGGATCAGTACTTGGCCCTCTGTTGTTTTTATTATATATAAATGATTTTCATTGCTGCTCAGATATCTTTGAATTTCATCTCTTTGCAGATGATGCAAATTTGTTTTATAAAAGTAAAACTCTCTCTATGCTAGAATCAAACATAAATGTTGAATTAAATAATATTCACATATGGCTCTGTGCTAATAAGCTCTCACTCAATGTAGAAAAGTCAAATTTTGTAATTTTCCCCGCACCTCAAAAGAAACTTGAATGTCAAAATTTCATGCTGGCTATAGATAATAAGGAACTTAAGCGAGAGTTCTGTATAAGGTATCTGGGCATCCTAATTGATTCACACTTGAATTGGAAACACCATGTTGATTGCATTGTTAAGAAAATTAGAAGAAGCACTGGTATCCTCTCTAAACTTCGTTATTATGTTGGCCAAGATATTTTATTAACCTTATATTATGCACTTATATATCCTTTTTTGACCTATAGAATAATTATCTGGGGAAATACCTATAAGACCACTCTTCAACCAATTTTCATTTTACAGAAAAGAGCTATGCGATTCATTACCTTTTCTAGATTTGATGAGCACTCTAGTCCTTTATTAAAATCTCTTGAAATTATAAAATTCCTAGACCTAGTAACTTTTCATTTAGCAATCTTTATGTATAAATATCATAATCAATTATTGCCATCAGTCTTTAGTTCTTTTTTTAGTAAAATTTCGTAAATCCATTCCTATAATACAAGGCTTGGTGCAAAACAGTCTTATTATCTTCCAAAAGCAAGAATGGTATATTCAATATCAGATTCGAAGGTCCATCAGTATGGAATTCCATTGACGAAGATATAAAATTATCTTCATTGTCTTTGTTTAAAAAGAAAGTAAAGCAGCAATTTATCAAAGATTACTAGACATCTGTATTGTCTGTGTAACTTGAAAATGGAAATAGTACTGTTTTGCAATGTATGAATTTTAGTCTCTTTAATATACTGGTAGTTTACCTTTGTGTGCGTTTCTGTATCTCTTTGTTTTTGTGTCCCTGACCTAAACATTTAAACATCTTTTCTTTCAACTGGCTGCTCTGGCATTTTTAACTCTTAGGTCATTTCGGGCAGCCAGCGCCCCTGTCATTGTCTGTACTATTATTATAAATTTTTCTTTCTTGTATATTTTGGGGTAAAAAAAAAAAAAAATAAAGTTATTGCCTGAGACCATTGCCGCAACCTTCGACAGCCTAAAACCAGAAGCTAAGACTGAGCCTTTACAGCAGTTCGTCAGTTACATTGAGGAAAACTGGATTCGCAGCACAGTTTGGCTCCCAGAGACTGCTAAATTGACTGCCGCCATCAAGAGGATAGCCACCTGGAGCAGGTTAACCGCTAACTTCGAGAGAAGTCACTGGGGCAGCAGCTCAAAGGATTTGCCAATATAAACAGGCCACTGATGCACTGAACTGACTACTACAAGGATTTTTCTTTATTACCAAGTAGAATAAGTATGTTTAGTCGTATAGGCGCTCAGTGATAATGGGCAAAATATATGAGGATAAGTCAGTTAGGGTAACTAGGTCACGATTGTTCAAGATTAAGATAACTTTTCAACGTTACTATGATTTAGAAATTAGCTTTTTTACTAAGTAGCATAAGTACGTTTATTCGTAGGCGTTGCGTAGTATTAAACAAAATATATTAGGATGGGTAAACTAGGTTACGATTTTTCAAGAGTATTAACTAAGAGACTTTTCAATGTTTCTGTGATAAGAAATTAGCTTTTTTGCGATAACTAGGATAAATGAAATAAATGTTTATGTTTGTTTTAAACATTTTGTGTCATAATTTGTTGGTTACGAATCGACCAGAGGGTTGGTACGAACTGATCGAAAGTGGGTGGGTACGAATCGTCTGGGTACGAAAAATCCATGGCTACGAAACGACTGGTAAGCGGCGAGCGCAAGTTTCTACCTCTTTCTCCCCTAAGTCAACTATCGCAGGATTTACTCTATTCGTTTAAAAAAGTCGCGCTTTGTCGAAAAAGTGTTGTTTTAGCCTAGGAACGAAGTAGTGGCCTTTCCCAAAATTGAAATAAAATGAGATTGAGTCAGCGATGTCCATGTTTACATTAAGTCTGACGCGGTAATTTCATTTTGACAATATTTTCATATAAGAACCCGTCCACATCTGAGAATTAAATTACGGACCACAAATGTGTGGTGCAAACAAACTCACGAGTAAAATGGAGTTAGTTGTAGTGCAGAATGAGTGAATTTCATTGTTTAGTCATGGTACTTTTCAGCGCAATATTTTCATGCTTTCTACTCGATTCTTTCGAACTTCAGGAAATTATTTCAATCGTCTCATAAAACATGGAGCCACTTTTTCTTCCCTCAACATCTCGAGGCGTACTTACTGCTCGGGTTATAATGAACATGCTTGCGATACGATATTTTTTTCCATAAAGCTGGAAACTGAAGAATCAAATCTCTGAAATCGATAGTCACTTCATTTTGAAGGAAGCATCTGAGCCGTAATCATATAATTAAACGGGTTGTTGGCAATTTGAGTACACAAGCACGCCGGTAAGCATATGGTTAGCGTAAATAATTGTTGTTTACAGTTGTTTAATTCGAAAACCGTTTTTTAAAGGTCCGTTTCTGTAACTTTCCTGGATAGTTTCTGTTGAATTCATTGAGGAACAATCTCGGAATCTCGTAAGTGATTATGAACGATAAATTCATATCGGCACCATAATTTAAGGAGGTTTTGTTTACACATTATCAGTTTACAATTCGTGGACCATTTCTGTAACCTTCTTGGGTATTTTCTTTTGAATTAATTGAGTCACACTCTCGGAATTTCATCAGTAATTAAGAACGGTAAATCCGTATACGTAGCACAAATGAAGCACATTTTAAACTTTCCATACGATTTTAGGAAACTATACTTAATTGACTCTCGATAAATAA